AAGGACTTGAAGAGACCCATGTAATTGAGTCTGGAAGCAGTCACATCATATAGTCCCCTTTAGGAAATGATCAAGTGCCATCTTAAAACCTGGTTAGGTTTGTTGCCCCCACTAGCCTATTGGAAGACTTTCGCAGAATGTCATTCCTCTGACAGTTCATGACCGTCTTCTAACTTCCAGTCTAAAGTTATTAATAGCTAGTTTATCCCCAGCTGTTCTTGTGCCAATACTGTCCTTCAGCTTAAATAACTCTTCTCTCCCACAGACACATACCTCCCTAAAGTATTTATAGAAAGCAGTCGCAGTCCCTGTCGGCTTTCACTTTGCTAGACTGAAGGCTGGTTTGCTTCAGAGGAGCAGAGTGCTTTAGGAAACTTCAGGCCAGTCTCACTGGTGTCAATGATAGGCAAGCACTCGCACCAGGAAAATGAATTAGACTTTGGAGACAGTTCTAACAATCCAGTGAAGTATGAATTTAAAAATGATAAACTCAGAGCTGCTTTTTCGTATACGAACATACATTTGGCACTGCCTTCTGCACCCAAGACAATATCATGGAAGCCCTTTTTCATTATGCTGGGGTATGGAATAGTTAGAGCTTTCAGCCTAGTTTTGATAGTATGTAGAGTCTTTAATTTGGAATGAAAAAGAAAACAACTTTCGTCTCCCAAAGCATTTGGAACCAATGCAATTCCTGATGCTGTTTCTTCTTACTCGTTTGCTGGGGGTGGGGGGCTTTATTAAGGATTTATAGGGCTACCAGTTGTCATTGTTTTGGTATCACTGGTTTGTCACCAGTTTGAATGAGAATTGAGAGCCCTTCAAGCCTCAGAAAGACCAAGCTCCAAGGCAGTGGAGCAAACATTTTTGGCAGGCATGCCACAAATCAGCCCCACACCTCTGCCAAGTGCCCCTGATCCTCTTCCTCTGCCCAATCTGCTGCTCTGCTTCCTGCCTGCCTGCTGCTGTGCTGCCTGTCCCTTTCCCCAATCTGCCACATGCCACACAGAGGCTGCCTGTACCATTTGTGGCATTCGTGCTGCAGGTTGGTCACTGCTGCTCTAAGGTATTTATTAAAGTGAAAGTCATTCTAACATGAAAGACACTGAGGGTGCCTGTAGACATGCTGCAGGCCTGCTCTGATGCGCTGTAATTACAGCGTGTCAGAGCAGACTATTAATATCATGTATCATCCATCAATATCATGTATAAAATGCTGGCAGATGCACTTGCAATTAAACTCACTGAATGAGCTTTAGTTCAAGCACTCCCACCACTATTTTGAAACACAGGGATGAGATGCTTTAGCACTTTAATTAGAGTGGCGCTCACTTAAATGATAGCAAATGGGCTATTATAGCCCCCCTGTGAATCCAAAGGACTTGATTCAGCAAAGGGTCTAAGTGTTTTGCTCAACAGGAATAGAATTAAGCACATGCTTAATATTAAACACATTCTTAACTGTGTGCTTAACTTCTTACAGAGGTCCAAGGAGATGGATGTAAAGCACGTACTTTATTTAAGCATGTGCAAAAATTATTTGCTGAATTGGGGCCACTAAAAGAACAGACACAGCCTGGGACTCAAACAACCTTTCAAACTTCACTGAGAGATGGAACAGTAGAAGAGGCATTGATGTCTTAAGGTTGCTTAAGTTTGTGAGAACCCCTGCATTTGATATAGCAGACAATAAATGGCATGACAAAAATTGACCAAACTGTTAAACCTGGCAAAATTCTTGCTTTTAAGGTTCTGTATTTGACAATTAGAAAATGGCTTGGGTAGAAAAACAAATGAACTTTGGCAGATCAGTGGAAGTGTTTTCAGGAGGAGTACATACTTCCTAACCATGTAAGAGATCAGAAAGACAAAATTCAATCCCTGATTTCATACTGTGCTTCATGAACCGTCTGAGTCATTGGGTTGAGTGCAAAATCCCAGAGGACAAGGTACAAAAATAAAGTAAAGTATCCCACTTGCTTAGTTTTTTTCCCCCCCCCTCAGAATGCCCATGTAAGGGCTAAGGCCACATAACCAAATGTCTTATAGGCAATTAGGGATAGACAACTACTAAGTGCAGAAACATATACAAAGGTCTTTTGCCATGTAGTGGCACATTGCTACATTGATAATTCTATATGACACAATAACATTACAAATTCTTTATGTATACTGAATCAATAGGTTGGGCTTTGAAGCTGCTACTTACAGCAACATCTCCAAGGACACAGCTACACTGCTGCTTCTATGGCAAGCTAAGGAATGGTGCTGAGAAGGACATCACACTCATTTGCTCCTGGTCAGCAATCATCAAAGGCTGGAAATTTGGGATATAGGTAGCTTAGAATGGGCCTGAGCAAATGCCAAAAAGTATGTCCAAAATGGAGAACCTGGGAGAGGCTCTGGGCATGTGATCAAGGACTTGCTTAACCTGCCACACTATCCAATTCTTATGTTTCTGGCATGTGCTGAACAAGAGTGAGCAACCAAGCAGAGGCAGTTCTGGACTCCCCACTTTGGTAGTGCAAACATGCCCTAAGTCAACCAGTATTCTGATCAGATGCAAGAGTCTGGCACCAGCCCACCACTGTAATGAATTAAATATGATGATACACAATAGGAAATAGATGTCAGGCTAAATCCTCCCAGTTACTCTTCTGCTGGATTCTCCTATTTGAAGAGGAAGACTTTCATCCTGTGTTTTTTACATGTACATTGGACCTAATTTTGTGCTAAGCTATGCCTTGTGCATCTGCACAGAAGTCACTGCAATTGCATAGAATATGTCAGTCAGTTAACTTCAGTGGTTCCCAAACTGTGGCACATGAGGCCATGGTATATAATCCCCAGATCAGACCAGCCTGTTCCTTCTCTCTTTCCCCTGATGAGTTTGATGTTAAGGGTGCATCGCAATTCATGAAAAGTTTTATTGGTTGACAAAGGTCTGTTGGTTCAGAATGTCTGACAGCTGTTGACCCCTTCTACTGCCAGACACCTGTGGCTTTTGATAGGAAAGCAAAAAAAATACAAAAGACAAGTTGCCATATGCCTTGACCCTTCTTACGTGTAGGATTACTGCTTTATGCCCAATATATACTTAATATATAAGTTAAATAAGTCAGTATGGTATAGGTAGGTACCATCTCTCTTAGAAGTGTTGGGTTGATCTCTGTCCTTTTGTCATTCGTGGTCACCAACTTGAGTGGTAAACTTCAGAGGCACAGACTGGACTCAAAGTGCCTGCACTCCACATCCAGGTGGTACCAAACATGCCTTCCAAATGGACCAGATGTAAAGCACAAATAATTCTTACCTTGCTGTTCATATCATACCCTTGCCTCATTAAATTAGAACTCTGTACATCAGAGTTAAAGCATAAGATCACACAGCTGCCTAAGTTAATTCCTATTGCACCAGCTCAGGTATTTTTCTGACATGCCTCCACTGTTTTCATAATTGCCTGTCCTGGAAAAATTATAACAACTCCAAAGACTTGTTCCAGCATTGTCAGTTGGTTGCATTAGCACTTAATCCGAGTACTGGTTCTTAATTCTCACTGGTTTTATTCAGAAGGATGAGCAGAGGGCAGCATTAGAGAGACTTAGACTCTTTTGCACAAAATGCATAAGTGTAATTAACATTCAAGTGCATCTCTTTGGCATCCACAGAACAGCATCTTAGAAATGTGTATTTGTTCACACGGAAAGCACAACACCAATAGAAATAATTATAAAAAATACTGAAATATTTACATGAGAGTTAATGTCTTGCAAATGGCAAGGGCAACATTTTTAAGGCCATATCTGTCCAAAGTCATCTTTCTCTATTGCTTCATCCTCTCTCAGTGTTTTGGGAAAAACATGCTGTCCTTTGCAACTGCAGGGGTGAATTCCATGGGAGCATTTTCTTCATTCTGGTGACACTGATGAGCAGAAAAAAGGGAAGTAAGTTCAAGTCATAGGCAAGGAAAAAAGTCAAATTAATCCCCCATCAGCATCTCTTCATGTATTTCTGTTTGGATTTAGACCCGATTTCCAAGCTTTTTTGTTAAGTACCCTAAAACTCCATGTTTCAGTCTGAGAAGCTACAGTAATGGTATAGATAATTTCTCTTCTATAATAGAACTGGGGAAAATAGCCCTTGAAGAAAATTAAAGATAAGTTGCTGATTGTAGAGAGGCATTTGGTTTGATAGGGACAGTTTGCATATCTTTTGTCAAGAGAAATTGGGCTTTTGTAACTTGTAAGATTATTTGAATAAAAGTAGTAGATTAAGAAGATATGTGGGTATGAGTTACCTTCATAGCTGCAAAAGGCTCTAAGAGGAGAGAGGTAGTTTCATATTTATCCTAGATGTGATTCCCAGGTAAGATCAGACTGGCATATAAACTCATTCTCTCCCATGCAAGCCAAGACTGCAAACCTGTAAGCTCACCTTCCAGCAACAATCCAGACAAACCCCAAAAGGCTCTGCTGAATTTCTGGGTGAACTTGCTCCACTGCTACCTGCAAGGGGTTTGGAACTCACCTGGAAGTGTAGGCCTTGAGCACAAGAAGTCTGCCAACAGAAATCCCACAATCTCTTGTTCCAGACTTCCAGGCTCCTTGTGCCACACTTCCTCTGTCTACATGGAGAAAAGCCCAGATGGGGCTGTCTGTTATGCATCTACAGACAGGTCCCTAGAAGGGCTCCAGAAGGGAGCTTGAGAGCCATGCTCAAGAAAGAAGTGGCATAATACAGATCCCTTTGGTGCAGATTACAAGATACAATACAGAAGATTCATGGGAGTCTGGGATGCCTCAAGTCTGGCTCTACAGGTTAATGTAGACTAGTGGTTCTCAACCTTTTTAGACTCAAGACACCCCTCCAAATCTTTTAAAAATGTAGGAGCACCCCATTAAAATATATATTTTACATACATACATACATATCTATATTATACTAAAATATATCATGCATATTATAATATAAACATTATAATTATTTTATTAATATCTTAGGCATTGAATCCATCACCCCACTGCCACTGCTGCCTCTGCCAGGTGGAACTGCTCTGTGCATCTCCTGCTGAGCCAAAAAGGAAACCAGTTGTGGAAGGAGTTTGTGCTCTTGCCACAGCCCTTCCCTGCCCAGTGTCTCCCAGAACCAGAGGTGCACAGGGCATATAGGACAGTTCTGGGTGTCTTCGTTTTTGGGAGGTATGTCAGAGCTGCTCTGAGAAGTGGCATTACATTATGCGAGCAGGCGCACTACTTCTGCTGCAGCTTGTCCTGGTTCAGTTCTGATGTGCCTTCTCAAAACTGAGGTAGGAGGGGCAGTTTCAACCCAAGGCTCTGGCAACCTGGAGAGAAGTGCTGCTGCCACCAGGTAGAACTGCCTCGCACATCTTGGTCTTCAGGAAGCACCTCACAACCAGAAAGAGCTGCAGCAGCAGTGATGAGCCTTCCCCCATAGCGTAATGCAGTAGGCGCACCTTTCCACTGTGGCCACTTCTCATTTTGGCTCCAAGGTACCTCCTGAAAACAAGCCATGCACAGCAATTTCACTCTGCAGTAGCAGCACCAGCATTGTGGCACCTCTGGCAGGTTCTGGTGGCACCCAGTTGGGAACCACTGATGTAGACATACATGTCTCAGCTTGAGTGACTATAATTGTCATTGCTTTTACAAAGCTTTTGAAATGTTCCTTGCTAAGGGCTATTTAAGGAAACTGAGGGTGAAGAGAAAAAAACTTGGTTATAAACTACAAAATAGGTTAAATGATTGTTTAAATGGCAGATACACAGTATACAAATATAAATCCTTATTATAGCCCTGGGAAGCACAACATATGAGGAAAGTCTGAAAGAACTAGGGTTATTTAGTCTGGAGAAGAGAAGACTGAGGGGAGGAGTTGATAAGTCTTTAAATACCTGAATGATGATTATAAAGAGGATGAAGATGGGCTTTTCTCTGTGGCTGTCGTGGACATGACTAGAAGCAATGGCCTCAAACTGTAGCAGAGGTTGGAGATTAGGAAGAACTTTGTGACTATGGGGTCAGCCATTGGAACAGGCTACCTAGAGAAGTTGTGCAACTTCCATCCCTGGATATTTTCAGGTTAGATACTTGACTGAAGATAATCCTTTCCTGAGCAGGGAACTAGACTAAATGATCTCATGAGATCCCTTCAAGCTCTAGTTTTCTATGATCTGATTAGGGTACTCAAGGATCAGTCTTAGGAGTGGAGGCATTCAATAAATTATGTTGATATTAATGACAAAACACGAAGATGAGCACAAGTATAATCTTCATGGGTTTTTGGTTTTTTGGGGGTTTTTTTTGTTTTTTTTTTTTACACAGTTCTAAATTCACTGGAATCCAGAACACACCAATAATCAGTTATCCAACATACCTGCCACAAGTGCAACTTTACAAGACTATGCTTTGCCACTAGATGGCGGGAAGCAGATAACAGCTTGCTTGCTTTGAGTTGTCAGCTATCCTAGATAACTAGAGACAGGTAACACCAAACTGTATTTTTATTGATGCCTTTCCCATGGTACTGCTACTCCAGATGTTACTAACTTATACCAGTGCATGGCTTTACATTGTATAGCCATTCATTTTTTACTCCTGTGTAAGAGGTGTAAATAGGGGATATGTTCAAGCTGTTAGGTTTCTTCTCTCATAAAACTGTGAGTGTTATATGGGCAGATTAAATTCACTACAGATGAGCATAAAATAAGACATAAGTATGAAGACTAAACTACCTGCAAAAATGGGCAGGCTCCAAATTAGTTTCAGAGAGTCAATAATCTAGGTGTGTGTTTTCACAATTCAGTAACACACTCCAAAGTATTCAAGGGTCACCAAATAGGGAATAAAATGTTAAGTTACACTAAGAATGGAAGAGAGATTATTCCTGGAGATGTGGAGCTAGTCTATAACTCGATGACACACTTGTTCATACAAATACATCTTAGAGGCTGTGTCTGTTTTGTTCAGCTCATCTCAAAATGAAATTTCACGAAGTTATGGTCCCAAAAATAGGAAAAGAAAATGTACGTGGCCTGTATCAATAAAATTCAGAAGCGAGGCTCAGAATGCCTATGTTTTACTGGGATGTAAAATTAGCCTCCTTAACAGCCTACAAAGGCAAAGGAGATGATTATGGCTATGATACCAGGTTATGCTTAGGTTTAGTTCCCTCTTCTATCTATTTTTGTATGACTTCCAGCAGATTGCTTACAGTTCCTCTGAGCCTAAGCCTCCATCTGTAAAAAAGGTATAACAGCAATGTGGCATATCGCTGTGGTAATTTCCTATTTAAATCTATAAACTAATGACTCAACCATTAAAACACCAAAGACATAACAAGACCCCTATGAGTTGCAGCTATGTTTCCAAATTTGTAACTGCAGGAGAAGATGACTTAATGAATACAAAGATAGCAATAGCCTCAGTGAGATAAATTCTCATTAACAACAATAGAGAGAATAGAAGAAAGTACTGTCCTAAATAAATAGAGAAGAAATCAGAGCAGCCAGAGACAGAGTAGGGGGGAGAGAGAGAGCGAGAGAGACTCACCTAGAATAACTCAGAGGTCAGGCATTCACCTGGGTTGTTGGAGACACCCTGATCCAGAGCAGGACTTGAATCTAGGCCTCTTACGTTGCAGGAGGACACTAATTACTAAGTCAATTGCTTAGCAGTTAGTAAGACTTAGAGACTGACTTTTTAAAAAGTCTCTCTCAGCTTTTTTGTTGAAGCAATTTCATTTTGCACAAATACTTACTGGGCCAGAGATCAAAACAGTGACCCTGTGGCTTTGTGATTTAGGTCTGAATCAAGCAGAAAAAGTATTTAAACATGGGATATTTAAACTATTTAAACTCTCCCAAGGGACTCCATATTTTGGTATCACTTGCACCAGAATTTTATCTGGAACTTGGAAAACATTTTTGACAAAGCTGATATGTTTCTATGTAAAATTTGTACGTTTGATGAATCTGCATTTTCCAGCAAAAACCATGTAATTGAAAATTTCCTCACCAGTTCCATCTTGGTTGCCAATTTTCAGACCCTAATAGATCCTGATTTTTCAGGAAGCCCCAAGGGTCCCTCTCTATGTTCAAATCAGATGCCCCAAAACACAAGGAAGTCAAAATTACCAGCTACTTTTCAAATGTAACTACTGTCACTGAACATGCACAGCTAAACCATTTCAGGTCCAAGCTGATTTTACACCTTGCTGGTAAGATGTAAAATCAGCTGATTTTAAACAATCTGGTTAACACGAGCCCACCTTACCTTGAGCTGAATATTGCAAGTGAAAAGTTGCTGCTGCCCATTTAATGGTCCTTCTGTTATTGACATGGGAGGCAAATTTGGTTCACGTCGGTAGGAATTTGCTCTCAAGCCAACTACCAAGGGAGAAGTTATCAAGGAACCTAAAACAGTTTCTGTAGGCCTTTGGTAATAACACAGTGCTTCTGGATTGCTTCCAGCATGGCAGGGCTCAGTATTTGGTTGCTGCAGAAGGCATGTGGTATGAGCTGCTTTAGCAAATTCAGCATCGTTTTCAAAGGGTGGCTCACTACTTGCATATTTCCATGGAGACTGCACAACACTGCTAGGTAAGGTGCTATTTGATGACAACTTCAGTGAAGCTTCAAGAACACTGTCCATTTGCTGCATTTCCACCTGAGAGTGAGACTGGATTTTTGATTCCAAGCAGCTGATCAGCGGCAGTCCATTGTCTCGCATCTGGGCTGGCCTGCAGTGCACCTGATGGTGTAGCTCTGCTTGCAACAGCTGTTGTTGTTCTGTTAACAATTGTTCAGCCTGAAGAATCTGTCGTTTCTCCTTATTGTAAAAGTTTGGTATTGGGTGAGGTTTGTGTGAAGCTGCCTGTTTTGGAAAGGAATGGCTTCCACACAACTGCTCAGACTCTACTGGACTTGATTTTTGCAGAAGAGAAGCAGATATTGCATTATGCTGTGTTACACCAAATCCCTGCACACCCTGACCTGCGTAATGGGTGGTCTGTGATGATGACATCCATGGATTGGTGACTCGTGATCCAAACACATTCTGTTGGCCGTCTGCCAGTACAGCTTGTGGCTCCATCTGCACCGGGTTGATTCGCAGCTGATTCTGAACAGGGGACTTCCAAATATCTGAAGGGTGACTTCCTGGAGAATTATCCTGATGGAAACCAATGACTGAGTTAATTGACACAAGCGGGTCATGCTGCTGCCTGTCTTGTTGGTTCACTTTTAAGGGAATGGCATGATTTGAGCCAATCAGATTGGAGTCCAGTTGCATCTGATTTTTAGGAATGAGATTTTTCAAGGGAACTGAAGAAGTACCCTTTTGCTGAAATACCTGTACAGGATTTATTTTATTAACTCCAACAGTTGGCTGGTTAACAGAACCCAAGGGGTCAGAAATATTCCCTCTCAGCCAGTCTGGTTGGTCAAATGGTGCTTGTTTTTTTGGCCTAGAAAATAAATTTTTGGGTGTAGCAGCAACTAGAGGAACCTGAGGGTCAGAGCCTAGTGTGCTTTGTGGTAAGAACTGCATTGGATTCTGGGATACAGGCGAGATAGAAATTGATGGTTCAGTCCCCCAGCAGTGCTGGAAATATCCTGGAGGAGTGCTTTGCTCACTGCATTTCACATTACTTCTGAGCGGAGTCTGAAGCGTGCTTAGGTGAGAACTTTGTTGAATTTGTTGCAGTGGAATTTGCTGAATAATGGCCTGAGATGAAGCAGTCGCACTGCACTGTGGGAAGTCCATATTCTTTCCATTATCCTTCTTATACAGCATCTCCTCCACATAGGAGGCCACCTCATCGCCCAGATGCTTAGGGAAGTCCTGGGCCACTGGCTCATCAACATCCATGGTGAGCAAGGTTTCTTCCCAGTGCTGTAATTGCAGGTCATCTACATCCAGGTTCTGCAGAGTTTGGCAAATATTACTATCAATGTTGCTCTTCTCAAAGAGAGTTTCAATGATGACCAGGAATGGGTTATT